AAAGGAACTCTTTTGGTAGAAGAATTCCATTAAGTTTATAAATAATTGACATGTACATAATAGATGTTATTGTATATATTGTTTTCACTTGATAAACTTTTATTATGAATTCACTTTTATTGTGATTATGTTAATATATTTTATATCGCAATTTACAGTGCAATTTCGATTTCTATAGTGAATATCGTAATGAATTAATAGCTATTATAAATAACTCGAAATAGCTATCATGGAAAAAATTGAAAAATTTATTTCCGGAAAATTTATGTTGCGTATTAAACATTTTTCTAGATAGTAATTTATTTTTCTTTTAATAATATGTTATAGAATATTTAATAAAATAAAACATTTTATTGGAACTTTTTATAATTAAATATTGATATTTTTAAAGATGAATTTCAACCAATATTGAAAAAAATTTTTAATGATTTCTTTTATTATTTTTCGTTAAATAAGAAATTTTATATATTTGGTTCACTTAAGAAAATGTGAGTGATTTTCTTAAATAATATTGAAATACTTCTTTTTCTCAAAAATTGGAACTTCATTTGAGCAACGTAAACTATTTCGTCCATATTTAATACTTTCAAGTTCTGCCGTTTTTTTTCTTTTTTAAAATTTTATTTGATTCATTAAATGATTTGATCATGGTCGATTTGATAATTTTTAGTAATTCAAATATGCTATTTATCTTTACAATTATTATTATCCTACAACTAACAATTATTATCTTACAATTATTACATTTCTTATAATTGATTAGTTTTATTTTTAAGCTTCGTTATGAGTTTCATTTTTTTCACATGAGTTTCATTTAAATTTAGATTTCAAATATGAAAATGTGTACTTAATATTGAATTTGAATTTATTTCTTTAAATAATTTGTAGATCGTGATATATTTTCCATATAATAAAATGAAAATTTATTTTAAATATTAAGTACTCATGCTTCTCATTACTATAAACAGTAATTTTTTCATATATTATACGCCAAAAATATAAAAAGAAAAATATAATAATTATTTAAAAATAGTCTTTCTATCATTTCAATAATTTTAAAAATATCATTAAGATTCATCAAGATCATTATTCGGAACAATTTTTCCTTATACATACTTTCCTCCACTAATAAAATTTTAATAGATTGTTCTTTATTAAGAAGTTATTAACAAAAAGAAATCTTTTGGATCCATATAATACGAAAATATAATAAAACATTTCTTGGATAAAATTATAATGCTCGATGTTATAGTAATAAATGCTAAATAAATATAGAAATAATATCACTATTATCCTAATTTCAATTGTTTAAAGAATTTTTTATTATATTATATTTATGTCCTTTGGATTTTCGGAATATCAAAGCTTCTGAAGTTAATGATAATTAACAGAGATTTTCGTATTAATAGCACAATTGAATATGAATAATAACAATTGGTTATATGTTATTAAATATGAATGATAACAAAAATTAAAACAAAACTGTAAATTTAAAAATCATATGAATATTTGTATACAATACATCTATCTTATTAAATTATTTTATATCAATTTATTAATTCTATATCAGTCAGTTAAACTATTTCAAGATATCCTAAATTTTTAATGTATATTTACGAATTTAAACTCGAATTTGTTCTCTAATTTCTCGATTTTATATAGCTAGATACTTTTACTTTTTTTTATTATTCTCCAAATCTAATTCAAGTCACTGTCCATCATTTGTCACGCGAGAATTGGAAGAATTCATCGGGCTGTCTATTTCCGACAGCCAGTCGAAGATCCGCACTCTGATCGATTAGTATCTTTGGATACTAATTGAACTGAAATAGATTTTGTATGTCAAATGCGTCTTCTGTAAATCGGCCTCGGTGGTTCTGGATAACTTCCAATTCTTTCCTGCGTGTCGTTGGGACGACGTCTTGGTAATCCGGCTCCAGTGATCCTGGAACGATTTCTGATTCCTTCCTATGGTCATCATAGACATTGTGCATTCGACTACAAGGCCGCTGTCGTAACCTACTCGTAATTTACTTATCAACGTGAATATCATCGTTGTTTGATGAATCAAATAAATCAATTGATATAAACCGTGATAAAGATAGCAATGACTCGAGTTGTTTTTTTTTTATTCTTTCTCTCATTATTCCTCAATATTTAAGTATAATTTTAATTTCATTTAACCTTTTTCGTGCGAAGTAAGAGATGTGATTCGTAATTTTTAACGCGAATCGTAGATTTAAGATTTTTCTTGTATTATTTATGTAAGATTTTTGTAAGATATTTTGAGATTTAGATTAAGCTCGATTATTGTAAAAATAATTGTATACCAATTTAAATACATATTTAATTAATTAATTTTTCTTTTCAGATTTTTCAGGTTTATTTAATTTTTATTTTTTATTCTCTCTACTTCTATTTTTTTCAGAATTTATTTAACATTAATTATATTTTACTGTTGACTGGGCAGTAACCAATAAATAAAACATACGAATTTGGCGGAATGAATATATTTATTTATACATAATTGCGCGTATCTGCTGACGGAACATGAAGAATGAAGAATTTGTATCGAGGAAAAACAAATATAATATCAATTATGAAATAGTGATGCTTCTGGCAACGTTCAATCACAAATAAAATTTCATTGAATGTTTATTATCCCTCATAAATTTATTTTTAATTTTTTTTCATCATTCATTTCTTCAATTACATATCGTTTATCGAATTATTTTCAAACTTCTATAATATCACAATGCCAATAATCTATATAGCTTATCATTCGAAAATATTAAATATATTAGATAGATCTTCTATATAACATAACATAAAATTACATTCTACTTCTATATTTTCAACGATACTGTATGAAAAATTCTAGATTCTAAATTGTATCGTTCAATCCAAATCCAATCTATTTTCATCTTTCGTGAATTTTCAACTGTTAATGTCATCAGCTCTGAAAAATCTGTATCAATTTTACCGTAGTCAGACTATCGAGATCTAAAATTTTAATATAAAATGAAAAATATTTTTTAAAAATTAATACGAATCACTTTACTGATGCCTACTATTTTATTTTCTTCATCATTACGTAATATTGTTAATGTTAATGTTCTTTTAATACTTTTAAATCATTTTCATCTAAACTAATATAATGATTCTAAATTTTTCTCACAATTTTGTATCACTGGCAAATGCACAAGTATATGAAAAATGTACGCAACGTTTACTTGGAGAAATGTTGTGCTATATCTGGTTTACGTTGTCCTGCTGTTTTTCATATACTTTCCTAAATTAATTTTTCACGTTGTGAGTAATATTTTTAATTATAAATAAATTTTGTCTTTCTAAATTTTTAAAGACTTACTTTAAATGTAGAAGAAGAACAAAAATAACGATCTTCGATTGTGATGCCTGTTTTAATTTTCTAACAAAAAGAAAAAAATAAATACTTTTAACTGATGGATGTTTAGGTCGAACTTTACATTTTACTGTCGCTTATATATTTTTAGATATACATTATATTAAAGCATCCAAAGCTAATAACCAAATTCCTTGCTTCGTTGCATTATTTACATTTAAAGATGATAGAATAGAATAGCTCTAAAGTTAATGATTGCGCTCCTGCATAATATCTTAAGACTACCTGTATAAGTTAACGTACAACTACAGACATATTAGATGAATTTTTTTCTTATAAAAAAATCTTTATTAAATGTCATTCATATTAACCGTCTCATTTCAATAATATATAGTTTAATTTTTAATTTTATAATTTTATGAAAACTTATATGACATTTAAGAAGACTATGATCCAACTTCCTTCACGACTTTCGCAACAAAACACAATGCAATGGATTGTGAAACGAGCGATTTCATTTCATTATTGTTGCATTAATTAATAGCAAATGAACAAATCCACGATAATCTGAATATTTATTTCCAACTCTTCCGCAGAAGAAATTTGAACAAAATTTTAAAAAGAATGTGAGAATGTTCAAAATAACAAAACTATCAAAATTAATATAGATACAAATTATACGTGAGATTTATATTTATTTATATTTTAAAATTATTATTATTATATAAGCGATTGTCAGTTTCACAATACAAATTTGTAAAAATACTGGAGAGAAAAATAATTAAATTATTTACACTTTTATACTTTCAAATTAAAGAAATAATATAGACATAAGAAAATTCAAACACTTCATTAAACACTTATTAAAATATTACTCTTTATTTTTTATCTCAAACAATTCATATTTTATTTTGATTTTTTTTAATGTCAAATTTTAAACTTTTATAGGATAGTTATAACCTTTTCGTATATATGTTATAATCATTAAAGATTACGTATTATTTATTCATAGCAATTTTTTTCAATTATGTGTTTCTCTATAATTTCTCTATATTTTATAATTTGTATTATATTTTTAAATATATTATTATAATATATATGAACATATCACTGTTTCACAAATGATAAATTCACAGAAATTGTATTAGGAAGTACATATATATGACGAAAGAAAACGCCATTTAAACTAAATAATGTATATATATTTTAGCTCATATAATAGCATCTGAAAATTAAAGTATCATATATATTTACAATATATCATATTGTTATAAATTAATAATTTAGTACAGCTTAATTAACAATATTATTTTAATTGTTATATTATTATATTCAGTTAATAATAAATTAATTAATAAATATATTGTATCGTGAATTTTCAATTTATCAAAGAGAAAATACCGGATATTATTATCAAATAATGTTATCGTCGCAGCCGAAGTAACATAGTCGCTGAGCGATGTATTATATGAGATCTGTGCCTCAACAATTTTTGTGTATCGTGTCCGAGCACGCCTTACAATTGAGTGTGATTTGACTGCCCGAGAAGTTGTTCGGTAGTGACGATTAGCCATTATCGAAGAAAGTGGCTCAGGTCGACTCTCTTCCTGGCTAATTGGGAGTGTCTCAATTATGAATGGGGACTGTTGGTGATGTTATTAGTCACATACATCATCTGATTCGCGATACAGGCCAAGGCCGGGTATGCGTCTGGTCTAGAAATTTCGATGTTCACGGCGAACGTTCTGGTAAACCTAAACAAAGAGCCATGGGTGTTTTTTGCTCTAATAGTGACGCAATATAGTTTACAGTTTTTCTTTGTTTAGGTTCACGACGTCTCGCCGCGTGGTCGCGGGAAAAACTTTATCCGAAACCTTATCTCCTATTTACAGCTCGCGACGACGCTCACGACCAGATTATCTATATGATTGCTTTTTATAAAAATATCAATAATTTGTTACATCAAAAATCATTATTTCTTTTTTTTTTTTTTTAATTAAGGTTGATCTTTATAAAAGAATATATATTATGTGTGTGTATATATATGGATACATTGTACAAATTATTTGAAAATATAAATATCCAAAAGCTATTAATTATTTTGATATACAATCTTAATCTCTTTTATTTATATATGATTTATATAACGTATTTTTTAGTTGATTTTGGTAATCTTCTTTTACTTGTGGTAATGTTCTTTGAACGATTTTATTTTCTAATTTTTTCATTTTAATTTCATTTTAACATTTCCAAGTTTAGTCCATTAGTACAATGATAACCTGATGAAAGATTTAGAAATCGGAAGTTATACACGAGGATCAGCACTAGCATTCAATCATCAATTTGATTTATGCATGTAATAATGCATCTTAGATCGTTAGACACAATAGAATTGCGTGTTATTTATTGATCAATTGCGATTTTATTTATATAATAATTTATATAATATATATATAATAATTTATATAATAATGATCATCATTAATGATTTCGCTTTCCGATTATAATAATGAAAATCTGAATCCAGTGAGCTTTCGTGCTGGTATGAATCAGCATTTCATTTTTTTATCGAACAAATTTAATAATACTACCTCCAACATTAAGTGTAACGCGGTGAATAAAATCTTAAGTCTATATATATTGCCAATGCAACATAGATTCAGATTTTTATATATAAGATAATATTTAACGATATGTAGCACAATATATCGTTTTCCGGAATCACACAAGAGTTCTAACTTTTGAAATTATAGAATTTTGATTTTTACTCAAGCATATATAAAATATCCTAAATCATTAAGAAGTCTAAAAAGATTTCTATAATACTATAGTTATTAGATATATTCCAATATCTTTGGAATAATATCTCGTAAAAGTCAATACGATAATCAAGCAATTATTCATAATATTGTCAAAAAGTAATATTTATGATGTCAATATCTATAAGAATAAAGGGATAATATTTATTTTTAAATACATTAATTACATATTTTTATATTTTTTATAATATAATTTATAAATACATTAATATAACACATACATTAAAAATACATTAAAAATACGTACTCGACATGCATTATATATAGTACAAACACATGAGGCAAATACAAATAAGATACACGAATATATAAAGTAAAAGTCCGATTTTTTTGTAGTATATCATCAATAATTAACTTTTCATTTTAATTGCTATAAAAAAATCATGTATCGGCTATAAAATTTTTCTCTACTCTAAGATATTTGAAAACAAATTCTCAAAACATTTTTTAAAGTCAACAGTATCGTAAAATCTCAAATGAAAAAAAATAATTTTAATTTTTCACTCTATTCTACAACAAGAAATTTGGAAAAACTAAAGTCAAAATATATGTATAAGTAAAGATTTCATGCTATAAAATGAGTCCAGACAGATCATCCTACAATTTTTTTTTTAAATTATACGGTAATATATAAATAAAATTAGATCTGATATTAATATAGAAAAAATATTCGAAAACACCATACGTAGTTTTATATATAGTTTTGTTCACTTTTCGGTTTGTCAGAGTTCTTTTGTAATATTTGTAAACATTAAATATATGCTGTAATTGCTAATGATTAATATCATAATAATTTTGAGTCTTTTTATACAAATTTGTAAAAATAAAAATGTTATATATATATGAAGATGAAGATGAAGATGAAAACGACGATGAAGTAGAAGTAGAAGATGAAGATGAGCTTGAAATACAACATGAGAATGAAATACAACATAAAGATGAGGATGAAGTACAAGATGAAGATTAGGATGGAGTACAAGATGAAGATGAAGATGGAATACAAAATGAAAATGGAGATGATGTACAAAATGAAGATGAGGATAAAGTTCAAGATGAAGATGAATGTGAAGTACAAGATGAAGATGAAATACAAGACGAGAATGAAGTACAACATGAAGATGAAGTACAGGATTAAGATGAGGATGATGTTCCAAGATGAAGGTAAGAATGAAATACGAGATTAAGACAACTATGAAGTATAAGATGCAAATGAAGTATCAGATGAGAGTGAAGTACAAGATGAGCATGAATTAGAAGATGAGGATGGGGATGAACTACAAAATGAAGATGTGGATGGAGTACAAGATAAAGATGAAATATGAAATCAAATTGAGGATGAATGAGGATGAAGTAAAAGGTGAGGATGAAGCACAAGATGAGGAAAAAATACAAGATGAAGATGGAGAGGATGAAGTACAAGATCAGAATAAGGATGAAGTAGAAAATGTGCATGAACTACAAGATGAGGATGAAGATTTAGTAGAAGGTGAGAATGAGGATATAGTACAAGATGAGAGTGGAAGTGGTGGTGGTGGTGATGGTGGTGATGATGATGATGATAATGATGAAGAAATATTGTAGTTTTTTGTCATACGTAATCTGTATAAATCTTATCCAGAAGAAAATATGTAAAAATTTGCATAAAAAATTTGTTATAATCATGATTGTTGTAATCAGAAAATTCAAATATATAAAGATTGTCAATGCTTGTTATTTTCTATATTCTACACAAAAAAGTAGAAAATTACAAAAAATTATTTACATTTAATAAAACTTATATATATTTAAATACAATAAATTAATATTTGATAATTTTTTTTTCAAAGTGATTTGATCTGTAGTTTTTTGTTGAGAGTTTAGAAAGAAAAAATTAAAAACCTAATCATTATATATGCTTCTTGTTCTATAATCAATAATATAAAAAATAAAAAAGAAACCTAATTACAACTATTGAAGCTATTTAAATTAGATTATGAAATCTTTAAAAAATAAAAAATAAAAAAAACAATAATATTTACTTAAAATTTCTTAATACAAAATATTAAATAATATTTATTAAAAAATTCAATTAAAATTATTTTTTTATTTATATTTAATAAGTTAATAAGAATCGCAAATTCCTAATGGAATACAATATTAAGATAATGATGAATCCCGTTATTTGTAATGCTCCCAAATTTGAGAAAATTCTTTAATAAACTAATCAATATATGTTTGTTATAAATTTTCTGGATTACAGGATGATATTAGATAGGTAATTAGTTATATATCTGAAATATCCTCGGAATGTCACAGTTTGGCTTTATGTTGCAGTTTCAATAATGAACGATTATAATTAATGATTATACTGTAATAATAATTGCAATCTTTAAATCACATTACTATTAGTAGGTGAATTGATCCGCTTTTGATTTTTATCAAGATAGACTCGAATTTTCTATTACTAAAATACAGATTTATAATATGGATCTGATAAAAGTAGGCCATTAGATATTTTGATTGATTGCAAAATCATAAATTGATTATTGATTTCTTTAAAAAAATTTGCGAATTCTGCGCAATTCATTTCGAGTATCAATGAAATTTGTTCCATTATTCGAATAAATTTCGCGATACTGACTATGACGCGAAAAAAATCTATTCAAGCAATTTTAAAAAAAACTTTATTATGAGATTTATTATTATCTTGAGTTGAATTTCCTTGGTAACTAGGCAAACAAATACACAAATAAACTTTTGTCATTATCTTATTGTATGCTTGCTCACTTCTTGACGATAAACAGGCATATTCTTGCTCTATTCTTGACGATATGGCATATTCAATACTAAAAGAAATGTGCTATAAAAGAAATTATTTGAATTCCGATTCTAGCTCCATCTTTAAGTAAGTTATAGTTTTTGATTCTGTCCGGTTATATGCATTTACGCAGCATGCTCCTCGCTACAAAAGATAGGTAGGTTATTTTTCGGAACAGATGCACTGCCATTTACTCATAAAGCCGTTTTATATTTTCGGCATGATTAGCATGAATATTTTTTCATCGGTTAGAATAAATCTTAATCCATATAAACGTAACTAAGTTAGTTCAGAAGGCTTTGATCGCGAAAGTAATATGTTATTTATATCTTGCTTATCAATTCTGCCAACAATAATATTCACATAACTTCAAATGTTTAGGCTAATCATTTTAGGTAGTGATATGCGATTTTATATATAGTAAACAGATCATTATATATATATTTATTTATGCGCCATAAGTTCATTCAAAAGCATCGCAAAATCCATTTCATCATACTTTCGTCGTGAAATAGCAATATATACAAGAATTCTAGATCCGATTGAAACCGATTGATTTCACAAAAGTACCAATTATCAAAGTGTTTGAATTGATGATTTTACAATAGAATTTACTGAACTGAGAGAACTGAAAATCTGTTTCTTCTGAAAGAATGACTTGTTTTGTAACTCGCGAAGTAAGTGGAGTTTTATCTCAATTGATCTATAGTTGATTCCCAGCGTAAATCGAGTGTCCAAGAGTCTTTGAAGATATTAAGAATCGTTTAAAATATTATAATCATTAGAATTTTCATTTACAAGATTTTTAATCCTTTGTCCTATTCGCTAAATCTTAACAAGCTCTTATTACTATTTTTTTTCAATGGTGTAAAATCTATACGTTTTAGAAAATGGCTCCAATGTGGCGCGTATAGTCTCATTGGTATATTTCCGTTCAATAATTGTCCTCGTTTTTTATAATCCTATAATGGTATATTTTGTAATAATGTTTCGGCTATTTGAAGTCTATACTTGCTATAATTCTGTTTTTTTTTCTATATTATTTTTGTTATGCAGAATATATGAATTAAAAAGTGCTATATCAAATATGTAAAAAAAGATTTTTTCGATATCCTTTCAAGCATTCCTCATAATATTATTTCCTCATAATAGATATTTCCTCATAACAGCACGGAAATATCTGATCTTAGCAATCAATATCAATCATTTCCTTGTTCTAAACAATAATACATTTTGACTTGAAAATAGGATTTAGTTGACTTCCGTTTTGTTCAATCATTTCTATAGTTTCGTGCTTTATAGAAATGATATGAATATCTCATTTATCCTTTCACTTTAACGCTAATATGCCATTGCAGTTTTTCATTCTGCATTCCTCTTTTTATAATTTTGCTTTAACAAAATCTCCCGCTTTAACAAAATATTTTTTCTATTAAAACATATTGTCTCAACATCATTTGTTCCATTTTCAACTAAAGTTAAAAACAGTTATCTATATTTAAAGTGTGTCCTTTATGTAATATTGACTTGATAATTCCATGATAATAATTTCAGATGCATTGTAATTAAAATTTGTTTTATTGTTAAATATACAATATATTTTAAAATTATAGCAATAGCTCGATATTGACAGTTTATAAAATTTTATTCCGAATCTCGTTCTCTTCGAGGGATTAAATTGTTTGTAAGACATGCTTAACGATTCGATCGCAATGTTCTCTTCCATTACACATATTTTTTTGAATTTTTTATTAAAATAATTCATCACAGATTTGACTTTATGTAATTTATCCATCTCATCAATCGTATTGTTATTTACAAAATAATTTAGTGATTTGCAAAAATCTTATATCGATGTTTCTATAATGGCTTTTTTAGACCAGTTCATCTGAATTTTTGATTTTTTAACTTGAGCCATTATTATGCATAATGCAAAGTATATATTAATTTCATTACATACGTACCATTTTCAATTTTTTTTTATTTTCATTGATAATTGTTTGGTACCAATTGGTTTTCATGACAATATTATCCCAAAATACATTGTCAAACATTATATAAAAAATGTCTAACTCTCTTTTACTTTTACCTGACTGATCTAAAATTGCTATTTTTATGCCAGGAACCTACAGATTTTTGATTATTTTCCCAATCCATTGTTTCGATAATTGATGATTGATGACTGTTTTCATCATTATAATCTTCAATGATTAATTTTCTTGGACGTTTTTATATCGCTATCATTACTATTATTATCTAGAATCTACCGAATTACTATCCGCAATAATAATACATTCTCATTATTATCATCAATATTAGATTATCTTTTTACTGATATGAAGATATAAAGGTTGTTTAATTCTTTTAGGAAATTATAACCTAAATAAGAATATAACGAAGAATTACACGTAACTAAAGTAAGAAGATACAAGAATCACGAGTCTGACTCATGTTTACGTTTGATCCGAATAAAGTGTCAGACTCGTGCTTATTATTTTTGGCCCAAATTTCTTATCATAAGTTTCACTTGTTATTATAGGACAAAGGTTTAACAATCGACAATTTGTTAAATACCTATTTTTACAATTATAGATTAGTTGATCATAGAAAAACATCTATTTTTTCTCTAATTGCGATTGCTTTTTCCACGGTATCCACGCTCATTAAAAAATCGTAAACATAAATATTGCATAAATATAAATATAGATCTCATTAGATGTATCGTACTATTATTTAGACCTATTTGCATAGATGCGCGTAGCGCGTAAATAGCCGATATAGTGCCATATGTTATTGTATTAAATTCATACGTTTTTATAGGTTTTCTCTCCACAATATGCATTAAAAGAATCGCTTATGAAATAAAAGTATAATAAAAGTACTTATCGAAACATTATTTTGATATTAGTATTTAAGACGACACTATATATGCAACAGTAATCGATAAAAGATCATTTTGCATTATCGGCTCGATTGTTGTACATCAATGAGACTTCGGTTGACAATTATGAATAATAAAAAATAATAATAATAGAATGATAATAGAAAAAAATAATAATAAAAGAAGAAATAATAATAATAGAAGTACAAAATATTATTGCTTGATAAAATAATTAGAAAGTCGATTTAGTTAGGTAAGAGGCCATTTTAGTTTGCCTGTGTAAGCTTAAACAATCTACATATATAATTTAAACTTATATATAAATTTTTTAATATATTAATATTTTTTAGAAAAAATTTTTATTTGGACTATAAATTTTCAATATGTTGAATAAATTATTAAAATTCAATATATAATATAAGCAAGTGTCAAAAAGAAAAATTGAATTTTTTGCATA